TCACTCAAAGGTGTTCTTACTGTAGTAGCTCTACCTGCTGATTTGCTGGCTTGTAAGTTCAAATTCTCCATACTTGACGCTAATGCGGCCACTTCATTCATTACTACTTTGAGGCTAGATTTCACTTCATCCATAGACTTAACGGATCGTTTAGAATTTACAATTTAAGCCACTTAAATTATGTAAAAGAAAAAAAAAATCTTTTTGAAATGAATTAGAATACCTTGTTCAAAATATCGATATCTTCGGCTACATTTTTAGCCTCTTGTTCTTTTCGTTCAATATCATACATTGCTATGGTAAAATGCAAATCACTACATACATCTTCAAATTCTTTAATATTCTTATCAAATGCATCTTTAATTGCATTGGCATTTATAAATTTTTGAAAGCATGATAGCTGCGTAATTTCTTTAGAAAATTTTTTAATATTCTCTAAAACATTAACAAATCTAACAAATGCATAATAATATTTTTGATTTCGAAATTTTTCTTCATTAGCCTGTTTCTGTCGCTGTAAAGATTTTACTGCGTATTGCGCGATTTCGACACGCTCGACTAATACTAAACAAATTTTTTGGTTGCATTTGGCATTTTCATAGATTGTTGATAATTGTTGAACGATATTTGTGACCATACTGAATAATGGAACGAAAGGTTGAACGGCATCGCCTACCGTTTGTACGGTATTAGCTATTCCTGATGTGCTGAATTTGTATTCTTCAGCTGAATTCTTTCCATCCGTTGTATTATTGGTAGGTTCTTTTTTTTCTCTTGAATGGGAAGCCATTATTAATACTCTGAATGAATGTAATTACCTCAAATTTATCGATTTTGAAACTTGGACCGTCTAAACATGAAAGGACGAAAAAGATATGAACTACCATATTTACGATATATTTATAAATATTTACAAGGTTCAAAAATTATGTACAATTACGGCTAAATGTGAATAAACTCCGTTGTGTCTCTGACCTTTGTTCTATAGAAGTTGTAAAAGATACTTGTACAACATTGTGCAACTTCAAAATTTTGGGAATACGGTCAACTCCCTCTAAGTGCACGTCCTCTCAGTGCAAGTTCTCTTTGAATGCAATAAAATAGTCTTGGCCCAAGTTGGGACTTATAAAATAAGTACGAGTTCTTTATTCTGTAAGTGCAAGATTTTTTTTAGCCAGCATATATATTAAATTATCTTCTCTAATTGCAAGATGTTTTATTAACCAATTAAATTGATTTATTTAATTACAGTTTTTTTTCTAAGTGCAAGATATTTTTTTTTAACTTGTTAACCTGCATTTAGAGAGAATTAATTATATATTAATTGAATTTTCTTTAATTGCAAATTCTCTCTAAATATTTTTCTGGCCCATTGACTTGCACTTAGGGAGAGTTGATTGTATACTCCGGTTTTTTTGATGCATTTTTAAATTGAGAGTTACTAAATTTAAACCCAAAATTTAATATTTCGCAAATGGCAAATCCTTCTCGATAATTTTGAACTTAAGTGTTTATTACATTCGTTTTAACTATCTGGAGAAGTGGTTTACTCATTCTTAAAGACAAAAAATTTGTTGTATATTGTTTTCCGGATCTTTTCCGCGCCTACTGTGAAATAGTTCAAGTTGTTTACCTGAAATATAAGAGGCAATGTTATGTAAAAAAGAAATATTATTACCTTTTGATTTTGATTGATAAACGAAAAAAAGGTGGTTAACTTTTAATTTGGAAATTTGCTTTAGCTAGTCAATGTTGTCGAGCCGGAAGAATAAGTTTACAGAACTGTCCTAACTAAAATAATTTTGATGTTATATTAGAATTAGGCTTTCGCTATTTCTGTATTTATTAGGCCAAAAGAAACTATATTAACCAAAAACTTTTGTGCTTTTGCGTTACACCTGATCTTGAAATTTGATTGGCCAGTGAGGTAGTAAAACAAGAGGGACCGTCGCACTAGACCAATGAGTTTAATTAAAGTGTGTCGAAAGTTTGGATATTTTGAATATTTTTAAATATTAAA